GAACCGTTCTTTTTGTCTGCTAAACCGAAACAGCCAGAGGTACTGCAGTACCTGCCCACGCCCCTGTCTCTCAGCTGGGACCTCTCTATTCCGCCCCTGAGAGCGACCCCGATGCTTGGATGGGGGCCGTCCACGGGTGGTGGCAGGCTCTGGCGCACCCTCCTCCCACTGGAGATCAGTGCAGCCAGTGACCGCCATTTGCGCTCTCCAACATTGAACCACTGGACATTTCCACATTGCCATCTCACCCGCCACCCTACATGTACCTGGTAAGGCTACAGGAAGTACCTCTCCTATGTGACCTTGGAAGAGCTACCCCTTTCGGTATAACACATCCATAGTTCGCTGTCCCCAATGGACCCTGATATCGAACCTGAAGGAACATATGCACCCGGAGAGAAGGCTGGGGGCTGTATTCGTCGCCCAGCGCAACCCGTCGCATACAAGTGCCCTCTGCTCGTTTCTTTTTCCCCTCGCCTCGCCTCGCCTCCCCTTCCCTTGCCTTCCCTTGCTTTCCTCGTCTCTAATGTCCTCGTTGGTGCAGTGAATCCCAGCCCATCTCAGGGGCCGAAGGTTCGTCGCCACAAGCCAATCACAGCCGCCAGGGCCCCTCCAGCCCGGCCAGCTCCAGCGCTGTTATGGGGGATGACATTGGAGGACAAGGTATCCTCGACTCGGTGCTTCAGATTGCGTGCTATGCAATTTCACCCACACCAGGGTCCCAGATTTTCGGTCGTCCGCCCATCTCCTTCTATATAGCCCAGCAGCATCTATTAATATAATGCGTAGAGACGCTCTGTCCCGAGCTTTAGTCAATGGGCATAAGCTTAAAGCAGGTTGTGAGCCAGCGCTGGCATACTATGTACACGCACCTGATGCGTTTGTCCAGCCATTCACCACCAAGCACGCGTCGCGTACCCATACGGTCTCACATGTTCTGGTCAGGACCAATCTCTGCTTCGCAGCTGCCGTGTGATGTCACAGCCAGACAAGGTGCGTCAAGCCATCGAGATGTACACATCCCGCCTCCCTTGGCCCCAACGGCGGCGCTGGTCAAGCTACGTTAGTTCTGGCTCGGTGTTCCATTCGGAACTTGGCAGTGACGGGAGCCCACCCCGGTTGAGCATCAGCCACAGTTGGTACCTCCCGCCACCCCCTTGCCCGACCTCGCAATCCTGTTCGGAATTGGGCTGGCAGGTTTCTTCTTATTGCAGGACCATTTCACCAGAGAGGCAGCCCCTGTTCCAAAATGGAAGTATTCTTAAGGTCTTCCAAGGATTATGGCAAAATAGCAATTGGCCGATATAAATATAATTCCGTCCAAATAAATTCAACACGCTTAGTTCTTGTTTAGTATGTGATGTACATATATGTGTACGCCCAGGCCCTCCAGGATGACTGGCCCTCGCTGTTGACGTTGAGTTCGTCTAATTCTTTTCCTCCCGATCCATAAAGTTGAATAATGGACTAGACTGCCCTTTTCAGGGCTTCCTCCTTTTATCGATGTATGCCCTTGCATCCAGGTTTACCCATTGATAATAAAAACAAATAAAAAGCCGATATGCTATACTTAGTAGAGCACACGGGTCAAGACGCGGGCTGCATGAACGACAGTCAGCAATGCCGCTGGCAATAGAAATGGAGGGTAGAGGGGAGGAGGCTTACAGCTCAGGAGTTCCAGACGTTCCCAAAGATCTTTAATCTCGCCAAACTTGACGTTGCTGACATCTGCCATCAGGTAGGCAATGTCGCCCTTGCTGTCACTGATCTGCTTGTCGACGTTGTGGTCGCCTAGAATTTCGTTGACCTTGCGCAGCACACCAGGAACGTTGTTGTGAATAAAGATGACCTGCAAACGAGTGTCAGATGAGGGGTACAGGATTTCTGTATTAGTGGTAAGCCACTTACGCGAGCCTTGTTGTCTTCCTCCAACTTGATGGAACGGAGCTGAACTTCAGGCAGGTTCACACTGCCCAGAGTGATACCCTGGTTGATATATCGGACAAGAGCTTCGCTCACTTCAGACAGAAAATTCCATGTTAGTGACTTGAACTTCACGGCAGTCTTTTTCATGGCAGGGCGATCATACCTTCGATACCAATAGCCCTCTGGGCTTCTTCAGTGCTTCCACCAATGTGGGGGGTCAGAATAAGGTTCTTCAGGCTTCGAAGGTCCTCACCCCAAACATTGAGGTCGTTGTTGAAGTAGTCTCCGTTGGCGGCAGGCTCCTGGGGGTAGACATCAAGAGCAGCACCCGCAACGTGACCGGAGTTCATAGCCTTGACGAGAGCAGGAATATCGACGACACTTCCACGGCTAGCATTAATGAGGTAGGAGCCGGACTTCATGCGCTCGAACTGGGGTGTAGAGATAAGGTTTCTCGTCTCTGGCAGGTCAGGAACGTGCAGGGTGACGAAGTCGGCTTCCTCCAGAAGGGCCTCCAGAGTCGGGACCTGTCGAGAAGTGCCCAGAGCCATGAGGGTGACGACATCGTAGTAGATCACGTTCATGCCCATTGACTCGGCCAGGACGGAGAGCTGGGAGCCAATGTGGCCGTAGCCGACAATGCCGAGGGTCTTGCCACGGATTTCCCAGCACTTGGCGCTGACCTTGTTCCAGGTGCCGCGGTGCATCTCGTTGGAGCGGTCGCCGAGCTGACGGGCGAGGCAGATGATCTCGCCAATGACCAGCTCGGCCACACTGCGCGAGTTGGCGAAGGGTGAGTTGAAGACGGCAATACCCTGGCGGGCGGCATAGTCGAGGTCGACCTGGTTGGTGCCGATGCAGAAGCATCCGATGACGAGCAGGCTCTTGGCCTCGCGTAACACCTTCTCGGTCAACTTGGTCTTGGAGCGGATGCCAATGACCTGGACATCGCGGATCTTCTCGATGAGCTGGTCCTCGGGCAGTGAGGTCTTGAGCGCCTCAACCTGGTAGCCCTGCTCTCGGAGAATGTCCTGGCCGGCCTTGTTGACGTTTTCTAGGAGCAGGATCTTGACATCCTGCGTGTTGAAGGGCTTCAGGGGCCTCTCGCCTGGTGCAATGCGTTGGGGTAGCTTGGCACCCCAGCTGGAGGCGAAGGACTGGGTAGCAAGCTGGGGGGTAACTGGTGACGTGGAAAGGTTCTGGAAGCTGTGTGAGACCTCCCTCGGCGCCCCAGGCTTGATCTTGATATCTTGTGCTGAAGCCATTTTGGAAAAATCTATGAATAGTAATGGGGGTGATGCGTTTGGTGACGCAGAGTGTACAAGCAGAGTTGCAGCTCGATACGGAACCTAATTATGACGTGCGGGGTGGGATGATGAAGTAGCACCACTGGCTGGGAAGAATCTTGTGGCTCGTCTTGGGTGTGGTTGAGAATGCGTATTCAAAATGTCTGATGATTGGAGCTACGAGGCGTGAAAATGAGGGAATATACGTCGTCATATATAAAAAATCCCAATCACAATTACTCTACCGTAATGGCTTTTTTAAACCTCCAGTCGCCCAAGCCAAGTGCCGGCGTGATGGTGCGATTCGGATGGCTAGGGCCTTGTGCCAATCACGACACGCAGCCGTGAATGGGCCAGCAGCATTAAACTTGCGTGCAGCAGGCACTAGCTGCTGCCAGACGGAGCAACCGCATTCTGTCTGCGGGAACTGAGTCACCGGTCGGCCATGAAAACTTTTCTCAGAGCCGTCCCTCGCTGGTGTCAACTGGCGCGTAGCCTTGACAGTGCCCCGCATCATCACCTGGATCGGGGCGGTTATCGGATCGAGGGGCAGCATTGATTGCTTCCTTAGCAGATGCTAGAAGGCGCGTTGTCAGCAGCCAGTGTCTTGTTGGTGGGAATTTCAGGGTTCAGCGCTGTAACAGAGCAGCCTAGAGCCGCCGTCGGCTGGCATTGGGGCTCGACAGGCCCATATTACAAGCCGCATATTGGATTGAAGCTTGGTCGGACCCAATCATGGCTCGCCGTGCCCCTCGCCTCACACACAACTCGCCCTGTGGATATTTCTCCAAGACAGCTCAAGATGGGTCAACAACACATGATTTTTGCTCTCCAACGACTCCGAGCATGTCAATTTGGTAGTGATCGGAGGGAAATAGAGCAATCTTAGAGCCCATTGGTAGGTGATCCTCCCAGCAATACCCAGCCGTGTCACTTGCTGGACAGTAACAGAACCGCGTTCTCAAATTACACCACTCCGAGAATCCGCACCATAGACCTTTCCTGATCCAGAAGTACCGCTCCTGTTTGCAGGGCAAGCTGCAAGCTCCCCTCGCTCCATCAGGCGGCCGGAGTCCACGGGCCATTGAGAGCGGAGTTGCTCCGTGTGTGACTCTCGTTCCTATTCTTGAATCAGTCGAGTCGAGCAAGCCAACGGCCGAATCCGGCGAGGTTCCCGGTCGCCAGAACATGAGCAAGCAGTTAACCGTGCAAACATGTTGTCAAGCCGACAAACCGTTTTCTATTTCTTTTTTTAGAGCATGGCTACAATGCTGTGCTGAGGATCCCAATCCACCAAGCAAACGAGCTGGCAGACGACCGAGAAACTCGAACACAAAAAGAAATATGAATAAAATTAAAATTAATAAAGCCAGGTCTATTACGAAACTCGGAATCAAAAGTGATGAACCTCCAACCCCGTATCACCAACCTGCCACCTCGACACGCGGAACCCAAACAGCGGTCTTGGTTTGTACTCGGCTTGATATTAAGGGTTACATCATGGAATGAAAACAGTGAAAGAATACGTGCAAATTGCACTCTTTTGTTGTCTAGCGTCAGATCATCGCCAATTCCCAAACCGTTCCATTGGTTAAAAACAACACACTGAAAACACACAAACTCATAGATTATCGATTCGAGTATGATACCGATCCCACATCGGCGAGGCTCCCCCCACCTGTGCTCATCTAGATATCCTTGATCAACAACTGGTTGTTCGATTGACCCCTTCTTCCGGGTCTCTCAAATTGTTAAAAAGCTCTCCATATCGCTCTTGAGTTCACATTTTTAGCTCTGCTTGCACTCGGCAGCTTCTTGTCGGGGCTTTCCAGAACCATCCTATTCTTAGTGTCAGTACACCAGCAACAAGGGAACAGCGTCAGGAAGCAGTTGCACATACCTCTTCATCGGTCTCCTCCTCATCCTCGTGGTCATCACTCAAGTCATCCTCGTAGTCGCTGGCACCCTCGAAGTCTCCCTCCAGATCCTCATCATCCTCGTACTCCTCAAAGGCCAAGGCCTCGCCAGTGAACCAATCAATGGCGTGGGGAATAAGCTTCTCCTTGATATCCTCACCCAGGCGGTAATCAATCTCAAGGCGTGACTCGATATCCGAAGCAACGTCATCCACATCCTCATCCTCATCCTCATTGGGTGGCTGTGGGGGCGAGAAGAAGTTGAAGAAAGAGTCTGTGGGGACCGTCTTCTTAACGATACGGGTCTGCTTAGTGTCTGTCAAGGGTCAAGGATGTCAGCAAACTCAAATCAAGAAAATTATCATCGAGGGTATTGTTGCTATGACCCCAGGAGTATTAAGTGCAAACTCACTCTTGTTTCTTTGCTTCTTGGCCTCGATGCGAACGGTAAGATCTTTGCCAGGTACCCAATCAATCTTGGATCCCTCAGCATGGTCGTAGATGAAGTCACCACCGTAACCCATCTCGTTCTGGTAGTAATACGTCTTTGTGAGAGTCTTGTTTGTGAAGAACTCGTTGGAGGCGAATTCGAAGATAAGGCGGAAGCCAAGAACATCGAGGTACTCCATGCGGACATCGACAAGGTGCTTGAGAGCAGCCTCGTCACGCTCTGTGATCATGTCGGCAAATGAGACCTGGTTCTTCATGGCAGAGAGCCAGAACTCAGGGATACCGGCAACATCCTCGGGAATGTCGCTCTTGGGCTTGGAAGCCTCGTCCTCCTTGGGCTTCTCCTCCTCATCGTCGTCCTCATCCTCATCCTCTTCGGCAGCCTGGACCTCCTCCTCGGTGGGCTCGGCACCCCCGTTGATAATCTTGGCTCGGCGCTCGTAGAGAGGGGTGAACTTGGCGAAATACTTCTTCTCAAGTGCAAGGACCTCCTGCTGCATCTCAGCCTCGAGCTTGGTGTGCTCCTTCTGGACTCCCTTCAGACCGGCAACACGGCGGCGGACGGGGGCAGGGAGAGATTCGACATAGCCGGATGAGCGGCCGACCAGGGAGCCGAGGCGGCCTTGGATCATCTGGACGATCTGGGGGTTCTGGGCGAAGATGGATGCAGCCGCCGCCTTATCAAGATCCTCTATAGACAACCGCCGATTAGGATACGAACCATAGACGTGCAAGGACAATTTGAAAAATGAAGTCCCAATACATACCCTCTCGGATGCTGGCGACACCAGGTTGCTGGGCATGGGAAGAGATAGGAGCGTTGGTGGCCGGTGTGTTCTGCGGCGTGCTGGAGGTGGGGTAAGATGGTCAATATCATGGACGGATGACGCTGTTGATGAAGGATACGAAGACACTTACGGTGCCGTCTCGGGGCGCTTTCCTCGGATAGGCTCAGCCATTGTGACGGTGTTGCTGCTGATACAAACAACGATGGGAAAGCGAGGGAAAGGGGAGGGTTTTGGTGAGATGGAGAAGAGAAGAGGTGAAAGCGGCGGCACGTTGCCCTTGGAACGGTGCTAATGGAAATTTTGGTTGGGGGGGAGGCGGGGGGCGATACAATCGGGAAAAAAAATTGGGTTCCGCACAGCGAGGCGAGTCTGGGAGCAGCGACAGAGAGAGAGTCAGTGCCTGGGCCAGACGCCTGGCTGGCAGGCAGGGAGCTGGGGAGGGAGGTAGGGCGATAGGGCAGGCAGGTACCCTTGAGCCAGCTGTGCGGTGCGCGCTACATGGAGATACATGCCTCCAAACCTGCTACGCGCTACACGCACAACTCGTTACTCCTTACAGCACATGCGGGCGGGACCCTGCCCTGGGCAGCTGCTAATTCTTGATCCATAGGTCCGTTTATTTTGTCTGGCCAGCGCACCCTCCGGCCTGCTGCCACACGCGTATTGAACTGGCCAGAGACGCCCGCCGGGACAGTGACACAAGTTGTTGAGCGATCTAGGCCAAAATGATAGACACATGCACCGCAATGCCTGGACTGAGCTCCCCATCCCCCGTCCCTAGGGTCTCTTCTGCTACTATCCCCGTTACCATTATTAATACCTCCGTCTCCTGACATGCTTTGCGTGGTCTGGCTTGGATTTTGTGCGCCAGATCAAGAATAAAAGGTGTGCGCAGAATGCCAGGGTGAGCCCGATATAGACTTCCAGATGCGCATGCAAAGGCGGTAGGTTGGGTAAGGTATCTTAGCAGGGCCAACTGACCTCAACTTTACCTCGGCGGTCAAGTTCTGCACTCCCAGCACCAAAAAGACGGTTCAACTGGCCGATCATGACGCAGACGGGCGCATTTGTCATAGAAGCACGGCGGTGTAGAAAAACACATGAGTCGCGTAAATACTAGAAAACCGCCTTATGACCGTGTGAGGCCATATCAGGGAACGTTGGGTAGTATGGCGGCTTCCATGCAGCAGCCATGCAGCAACCATGCAGTGGCTTCCAACCTTGGGTATCCTTGGAGCTTGCTCTTGACGTGCGCTTGGATACAAGGCAGATCACGGTGGTGTGGAGCTTGGTCGCATTTTGGGGCAATTGGACACGACCAGGAATTTATGGCATAGCTTGATATGGCCGCCAGCGTAGATAAGGTACAGGGTAGTGCGGTAACCCGATTGGGAAAGTTCGATATCTGCGCCTTGGAAGCCTCGATCCCGATGTGTGCACTTGACCTCGTCCTGACACAGAACGCCATAGCCCATTGCGCAGTTCCACACAACCGGATTCTGTCGCTCATGCGTTTTATGCTAGATCATCGTTGACGCGTTTGGCCATGGCAGAAGGCGACCCTTCGCGGCGACGCAGCTCGTCAAGAGCTCCCAACGGAAATGGACCGGGGTTATATCGGCTTCAGTCGAATCAGAGCACCTCAAGCATCTTCGAAGATGTAGAGATGGCTCAGGACGAAGTAGGAATCTCACTCTATCCCAGCAGCCTCCTCCCAAGTCTAACCACTCTCTCAGCTGTACTCAGGACCAGTCGCTGAAAGCCTTCCCTCGAGTGTGTCGGCCTTCAACCACCGTCGTCGCCGCGCTGATTCCACTGCAAGCTTCACCTTCTACGATGAGGACGAGGATATAGAGCCGCAAATCGAGTCCGAACAATTGACTGAACATGACGACTATCTTCGCCGTAGTATCAGCGACATTGGCGATCTGGAATTCGGGGTTGTGGAAGAGGACGAGGATGACGATTCTGCCGATCGAGAATTTGAAGCCTCCCACGACGACTACCGCCTCCGCCGTTCATCAACGCTCTCACGAACTTCGATACGTGCCCAGCTTTTGCGCCACGATAGCGCCGTAACATCTGGCAGTGCGTACGTGTCTGGACGGACAAGTCAGAAGTTATACATGAAGAACGAGGATTTGACCATTGCCATAACCGGTTTCCAAACAAGCGCGAGGGGGCGTGCTCTGTACATTGCCCTTTGCTTCCTCACCTGCGGGATTGGATATCTAGTTCTTCGATGGTTGCCACGATGGTATGTTGCCGTGGTTGGCCAGACTTGCGCATTGAGAGAGTGCCAATGGGTCGTTATCGAAAATGAATGGTCTGAAATGGCTATTCTTGATGTGCGATCTGTGTACTACGGACGCCCACTTTCGTCTGTCTTTGGAATGTCCGAAAAGATGTTCTCCGATGGGTTCGACGATGAAACTGACCCTATCATCGATGACTTGCGAACCCTCGACTATCGTTATGTACGCTTGTGCTTTCATCCCGTCGAGGACAAGTTTGTCCTTTCGAGTGGATGGAAAGATCCCGAATGGACAGATGTCCGAGTCTTGCGCTCTGGTCTGGATACCGACGAGAAGGGCATCCGTGAAGTCCTCTTTGGCAACAATCTCATCGACATTGAACAAAAGCCGATGAGCCAGCTACTCATTGACGAAGTTCTCCATCCATTCTACATTTTCCAGATCGCCAGTCTCATTTTGTGGTCTCTTGACACGTACTACTACTACGCCGGGTGTATCTTCTTCATATCTGTCGGTAGTATTACATCAACTTTGCTTGAAACCCGTGCCGTAAGTACCCATCGTTTTGTTGCTATTCCCCCATATAACCTGGATGCATTTCTAATTGCCAAATCAACAGACTATGAAGAGGCTGCGTGAGATATCCCGTTTTGAGTGCGACGTGAGAGTTCTTCGAAATGGTTTCTGTATGTTTCCTGCACCCATCCAGGCTGATCTGTGTTGCGCCATCTGACCAACTCAAAAAAGGGCGATTCGTAGGCTCCAGCGATCTTGTACCCGGCGATATTTATGAAGTCAGCGATCCAAATCTCTCACAGTTTCCCAGTGACAGTCTGCTCCTTAGTGGCGATTGCATTGTGAATGAGAGCATGCTGACAGGTAACCCTCTCACCTCGTCTAATATTTGGGCGATGTAAAGTTAACATCAATCCAGGTGAATCTGTGCCGGTGTCAAAGATCCCAGCAACAGATGAATCTCTGTTGAAGATGGATCTAGGGGCTTCTTCTGTGTCTCCAGAGACAGCGCGTCACTTTCTCTTTTGCGGCACCAAGATTATTCGCACACGTCGGCCCCAGGAAGACCAGGATGGAGACGCCGTTGCCCTTGCTCTTGTTGTCAGAACAGGCTTCAACACTACCAAGGGCGCTTTGGTCCGATCCATGTTGTTCCCCAAGCCTTCGGGATTCAAGTTCTATCGCGACTCTTTCCGATACATTGGCGTCATGGCAGTCGTCGCCATCCTTGGATTTATCGCCTCATTCATCAACTTTGTGAGACTTGGAGTCGAGTGGCACTTGATCATTGTCCGGGCCCTGGATCTTATTACCATCGTTGTACCTCCCGCTCTACCTGCCACTCTGACGATCGGCACAGGATTTGCAATCAGTCGACTCAAAGGCAAGCAAATATTCTGTATCAGTCCTCAGCGTGTCAATGTCGGTGGTAAGCTAGACATTATGTGTTTTGACAAAACAGGCACCTTGACGGAAGATGGCTTGGATGTTCTCGGTGTTCGTGCTGTTCACCAGTCCTCGCACACTTTCAGCGAGGTCATCTCAGATACTTACGAGCTTGGTAATACTCGGAACGGGGCAAGCCAGGACACCACGTTGCGTGCAGTACTGCACACCATGGCTACCTGTCACTCACTAAGATCAGTTGATGGGGATCTCATTGGCGACCCTTTGGACCAGAAAATGTTTGAATTCACGCATTGGACTTTTGCAGAAGGGAAGCAGAGTATCGGTGATGCTGAAGACGAGGAGCCGGGCGGCCTCTCACCTTCTATCTCTAGACCTCCAGATGTAAGTGTTGATATCTGCTTTAACATTATTCCGGGTTTCATGCTAATTGAGTCGTTTAGAACTCGTTTGAGCTCGGAGTTCTCAAATCTTTTGAGTTCGTATCCCAGCTGAGGCGAGCCAGCGTTATCGTGCGCCAGTTTGGGGAGAAGAGTGGCGATATATATGTCAAAGGTGCCCCTGAAGCAATGCGCGAGATCTGCAGACCTGAGAGCTGTAAGTTGCCATATATCTTTATCACCACCACGCCCTAGCTCACAAATTCGTAGTCCCACATGATTATGAGGAGCGCCTGGCATTCTATACCCATAAAGGATACCGTGTCATTGGATGTGCGACAAAGCATCTGAAGAAGCTCAGCTGGGTCAAAGCTCAAAAGATGGCCAGAACGGACGTCGAAAGTGACTTGGAGTTTGCAGGGTTTATCATCTTTGAAAACAAGCTGAAACCCACCACGGCGGATGTCATCAAGGAACTTCTCATTTCTAACATTGAGACCGTCATGGTCACTGGCGATAATATTCTAACGGCAATCAGTGTGGCACGTGAATGCTCAATGATTGACCGAAGTGCTCATTGCTTTGTTCCTCGATTTATGGCTGGTAAGTTCCCATCATACACTAATCACAAAATGGGTGTTGACCATGATAGGTGATTTCCGCGACCCCAAGGCTGAGCTACGTTGGGAAAGTATCGACAATTCGGCCTACTGCCTTGATAACGCCACTTTAACTGTATGCTCTGACTGCTCTCTCGTTCAAATCTAACTGGCATACTAATACACGTACCAGCCATTGCCTGCCCCTCCAGAGGATGATGCATCCCTGCCCTACGACATTATAAATCTTAGAAACTATTCGCTTGCGGTTAGCGGAGATGTCTTCCGATGGATGGTAGATTATGCGCCTCCCTCGCTTCTATGTCGGGTACGTTGGTCCCTTGTTACCTTTCTAGAGCTACCTAACTAACAAAACTATGTAGATGCTTGTCAAGGGCAAGGTGTTCGCGAGGATGTCTCCTGACGAGAAGCACGAATTGATCGAGAAATTCCAGAGCATTGACTACACCTGCGGCTTCTGTGGAGACGGCGCCAACGACTGCGGTGCCCTGAAG